CTGAGCCATGACTTTGGCCTTGACCGAGCGAGCCAAAGTGTGTGATCTCTCAGCATCTCTAGGTAGGGGGCTGGTGGGGGAGGGTCTCAGCTTGTTTCTGGGGCTGAAAGGTGGGCATACAGCCAGGAGCTGTCAGGATCCAATAATCTAAAGCCCAGGGAGGAATGTTCTGTAGGTGTGAACGGAGTAGTGATTAGCACATGGGTTTTGGAGAGAGTTCAAACCCTGAGTCTGCTTGTTGGTAGCTGTGTGATTTTAAACAGGTGGCTTAACCACTCTGAACCTCAGTTTCTTACCTGTAAAATGTCACTTACCTGACAGTAGGATTGTAAGGATTAAAGCAAATGACGAAGGTATGAAATTTTGCACATAGTAGGTGCTCAAGAAATGTTGGTCATCGTTGTTACATAAGCTATAGTCTAGGGGAAGTAGGAAGGGGGGATTATCTTTCTGCAAGTGCTCACTGTGTGTCAGGGACTGTTGTAGATGCTGAAATTCATCAGCTTGGTGACGCTGAGGTTCTGCGGGTCCTAGGGCAGAATCCTATGTAATTTATCTGACACAGGCATCTCTGATTTTGCTCCTGGCGCCAATGGTTGGTTTCCCTCTGGGGCTTCTCCCTGGAGCTGCAGGCCTCCTGTCCACTGTGGTGATGGTTTCTCTGTAGTGTGCAATAGGAGAGGCAGGGGTCATCTGAAAACGTCAGAGGCTTTCTCCACTTCTGTTAACTCGCCCTCAAACCTGACATCGTGGCTGGACTTCCTGGGGCAGCATCTGCAGGCAGGTAGGAGACTGTCTTAGGCTTGCCTTTTATCAGGTTAGAAGATGGCTAAGTAACATGATGAGCTTGGGGATCGGAACCCCGATTTCCTAAAATTCTACTCCCGCGTGAGGTCAAGTACTCTAGAAGCAGAACCCGCGATGGGATTTTCTGGTACCAGTGATGACTCCGGGAAGCAGCGAGGGATGCCAGGCGAGGACGGGGCTTCAGCTGGAGTCTGGCCTCAGCCTGATCCCATGGGGAGCTCTGGAGCATGCTGGCACACGCTTGTCCCACCTCGAGACAAAAAGTCTGTGCTTTTACATTGCCCCCTGCCCGTTATTCATTGGCTTTGGGCTGCACTCGGGGTGTCTCTGGGCAAGGCAGCTGCTTTTGTTGGCTGAGGGCAGTTCTCTGGAAAACGGTGCTGCCATGAGCCCTTAGCTGCTAACACTCCCAGAGGCTGGGGGTGGACGCCCCTCCTGTCAAGGACATCGGCAATGCGTGCTGTGCCCCCTCCCCTCCACCTGCATCTGTCCCCCCATCCTCCCAGCCACGGTCTGCCTGTGGACACATGACCTCCTTTCTCTGGATGGCAAAGCTGAAATAACCAGTAGGGTCCAGGGTAGCTTCTGGCCTGGAGGACCGAGCTGGGTGCTTTCCATGAATGATCTTGGACTTTGCAGGCAGACTTTTAACAGGAAATGAGCTCCTAGTGTGCATGACTGAATGCAGGAGAGGATGGGCCGCCAGGTTCCGCCTGGAGAGCAACAGCATTTGGAGATTAGAGTTCGTGGGCGGAGACCGTGTCACCCCTGTCCCAGCCCTCCCTGCTTCCTGGGGTCCCCCGAGGGCAGCACCACATCTCTGCTGCAAAGCAGGAGGCAAGGCATTCGAATGAATGTTTGGAGTCCCCGTCCGGGAGCAGCCGAGGAAGCCCAAAACCTGGGCCCGAGCAGGGGCCAGGGGTCCCGGGGGCCCAGGATGGCCTCGCTCAGCAACTGACACAGATAATAACGAGACAAGTTTCTTTTCAGCAGATTCCCTTTGCACCAGGAGATGTCCCTTCTTTCTTCCTGCTTTCCAAGTAGAAACGGTGAAATGGTCATATTAATCTGAGAAGATTATGTCGATCACAGGGGAGCAGACGAAATGGCTTTTCTGTAAGAGGCTTGCCTCCCATGTGTCCAGCCCTCGGCCCCCCTCTGGCTTCACTCACTCAAAGATTTAATAACTCCAGGGGCTGCAGGATAGGAGAGAGAGGGCTCTCCCTGTTCACCTCCCGACTTCCCAGCATCCCAGAAAACGAGGCCGTGTGGTGCCAAGACCTTCAGGGAAATCGGGCCCCACGGGACACAGTGACCCACGTTCCCAAGTTTTTGTTTTTTAATTAATTAAATGTAATCTCCGTGGCCTCTCCCGCTTTGCCCTTTGGCCAGACCTGCGGGAGGGGGGCGGGGAGCCTCACAGAGGACATGAGCCTGGCTCAGTTCAGCTGGACTGCCTTAGTGTTGAAGGAGACTCACGCATGCATTCAACAAATGTTTATTAAATGCCTTCTATGCGCCAGGCGCTCTGTGAAGTGTTGGAGATTAAGAGAGAACAGAACAGAGTAAGTCCTGCAAGGGGCTTACGTTTTAGACATAAGAGAGGCAAACTCTAAGCAAATAAAGAAATAAGACATCCGATAAATTTGGGAAGGGACACGAGCTGTGAAGAAAAGGAAATCAGAGTAAAGGAAGCCAGAGCGGAGGACACAGGGGAGGAGCTGTTTTAAATGGAGCAGTCAGGGAGGGCCCTTTGAGGGGATGACATTTGGGAACACACCTAAAGAAACGGCAGTGAGCCTGGCATATGGGCCTGGAGTTCCGGGCAGAGGGGAGAGCAAGGAAGTGAGGGTTGGAAGAAGGGCAGAGAGGCCTGGGGGAGAGGGCGCGGGGGGCCGCGTAGGGAGCAAGAGGAGAGTGGGGGGTAGAGTTAGAGAAGGAGGTCACAAGGAGCCAAGGTCATGCCAAGGAGTTTAGATTTTATTCTGGGAGCAATAGGGAGCCATTGAAGACTTCTGAGCAAAAGAGTGACATGGGCTGATTTACTGTATTTGAGGTAGGGAGGGAAGGGACATAAAGTGCAGACACTTTATGTATGTACCTGTTTAATGACCACCCAGATCAAGATACAGAACATTTTCATCCTACAGAGGCCCCTCCCCAGCTGCCCCTCCCCAGCCCCAAAGTTAGCAATGGATTTGCTCTGATTTCTACAATCATCAAATAGCTTTGTCTCTTCTTAACTTCCGTGAAACCCACCGTCATATAGCATGTTCTCTTTTGCTGCTGGCCTCCTTCATAAAATATAGTGTCTGTGAGATGTGTCCCTATCGCTACATACATCAGGGGTTTGTCTTTTATTGCAGACCAGCATCCCACTGCGTGGACAGACCACACGGATCTATCTACACTCCTGTTGATGGGCATTTGGATTGTTTCTAGGTTTTAGCTGTTGTGAATCAAGAAGCTGTGAACGTTCTTATACATGCTTAGAACGTGAGCATTTTCTCCTTGGGTGTATACCTAAGAGTCGCACTCGTGAACTGTAGGGGAGATGAACGTCCATAGCTTTAATGGGCCTGCCAGCTTCTCAAAGTGATGGTCCCACCCTCCCCCCACTTCACTGAGATACAATTCACATATCATAACAATTCACCCTTTGCAATGAATTTTAGAACATTGTCATTGCCCCTCCCAAAGAAGCCCCGTGCCCCAAAGCCATCACCTCCTAGTCCCCCC